TTTCTATTTTTTGTTATGCAATAGAAAACAACAATGCCCCCCAAAAAAATATGGGCGTGTAGTTTTTTTTTAGCCCTACACGCCCATATATATATATATATATATATATATATATATATTTTCATGCGTTAGAAAAAAAAAAAAAATCCTGTACCAAATTTGGCTGGTCGGCCGAGGCCGAACCTGGCCGATTCGACTATCGGCCGAGGCCGCGGCCGATTTTCCCCCCCTGGCCGCGGCTGGGCGTGCAACATAGAACCTAACTGATGAGGAGGTGGGAGAGAAAACCGTTCCACTCCTCTGTCCTTTAATAGACGTCCGGGCTGTTGAGGACCATACTGGCCAACTCGCCAAAATGTTCGCTGAACTCAAGATGTTGCGTGAGGACATGGCCCTGATGGCGCAACAGCACTGTGACCAGCTGCAATACTCCTCCGGCCTTTAACAGACGTCTGGGTTGTTGAGGACCATACTGGCCAACTCACCAAAATGTTCGACGAACTCAAGATGTTGCGTGAGGACATGGCCCGATGGCGCAGCAACACAGTGACCAGCTGCAACAGTTCACTAATGTGCATCCAACCCAAAGTATCCTTCCGCCTGCTTACTTGCTTCTAGTGCTGCGTGTCAGTCCGTTCTTGCCCCTCTAACAACGTTTTCTTCTTCTTCTTCTTCTTTGAGTGTGGCCAACAGCCTAACCGGATCTGTTGTAGGTTTAGACCCCGTTGTTGTTGTTGTTGCTGCTGCAGCGGCAAGTGGCAGTGCAAGGCATTCGGGAACTGTTGCAGCCCCGAATTCGGACCCAGCAACCGCTGGTCCAAGCTGCAACTTTCCTTACATGGATAGAAAGGCGGCGCAGATTCCGTCTAAGTATGACGGAAAGGACGACATCGAATCTTGGATCAGCTCCATGCGATCCTACTCTGATGTGTTGGGGACACTCCCAGTTACTCAATCGTCGGTCCTTGGGACCAATGTGGAACCCGCCGTAAGAGGATTCTTGGAAATTCAAGCTGTACAAGCAGGCTATAAAATAATAGACCTGAACAAATGGCTGAAGGCTACGCCGGTAGCCACACTCGAAGAGCTTTTGATCAAGCAATATGCTGATCCACACATTGCAGCCAAAGCTAGACTTAAGCTTGACAAGCTCAAGCACAGCAAGTGGACCGGCACCATGCATAGTCTGCAGCAGTATGTTAGTAAACTTTTTGCTACTCCGGACCTGGAAATGACTGCGCAGTCTTGTTTGGATGTGATTAAAGGTACGGTCCCCTCTACTATAACACATCGCCTAGCGCTCCAACTAAGAACGTATACAGATTGGCTTACCCTCATGCGGGACTTACTCAAGCTGGAAGCAGAAGACCCCCCAGGTGGATCGGGTGGCTAAAAGACCACCGACCGCAAACAGTTTCCAGGCAGCAACCGTTTTGCCGCGCACGATCTACTTGAGGATCCTTCTCTTGATGACGATCAAGAGCAAGACTGCGAGGCATCTTGGTCTTCTTCAGCCCATGAGTCTGAGTATGTGAATGATGATGAATCTATGAATGCCTTCAAGAAGAGTGCATTCAAAAGGAAGGGACCGAGGACCACGGTGAAGGACAATACTAACACCATTCTCCTTCCCAAGGGAGCGAAGATTCCATCCAAACCGGAAGATCCTGCCAGAAAACCATGGGTAGATCTGCGGATCAGTGAAAGTGAGTGGAAACACAGGGTGAAGAAAGGGTTTTGCCTGCATTGCACCAAACGAGGACATTCAGTCCAACATTGCTTCAGATTGCAATAGGGAAACCAACAAAAGGGGTATCGACATCATCAACACACTCTACAGACGGAGAGGCTGAACATGTAAGTGCATATCCTCTCTTGAAACCCCATCTGATGCTGATTCCAAGACTGAGAAATTGCACATCCCCTATAAGGAGTCTTGAGTGAAGTCGAAAGAAATCGACTTTCATGCTCTGTTGACGCGCAGGGCTCATATGAAGCAAGAACACGCACAAGGGAGAACGAAGTTGATCTTCTTCAAACTCTACATTAATGGTCGTTACGTCCGTGCGTTGGCTGATTGTGGTGCAACCGCCAACTACTTCTCACCACACGGCATTCGTAAGGCACACTTGGGAATGAAGCAAGTGACCTTGCAAAATCCTTGTCGGACCCAAGTGGGCAACCAAGAGGTTGTCACCTCTACACATGCAGTCAAAGGTGTGCGCACTACCTTTGACCCAGATCGCACAATCTCGCATGAATTGAACTTCTATGTCCTTGATTGTGCCCCTCCGATGCGGTTATTGGCTTAGGCTGGTTGCAAACCCAATGTGAAAGAACCACATGGAAGGACTCACAGTTCATGGTCAAAGATGCCATGGGAATCGAGCATCCAGTCATCCTGGATGAGCCGCGCGAGCCCCAAGTAACTTTTGTCAATGCAATGCAATTCTGCAAAAAGTGGCGCAGGCGCAAAGTTGATGAGCAAATGTATATAGCCTTTGTTAGACCTGCTCATATGCCTTCTTTTTTTGTACATAATGATTCCACTTTGCATGTCGTTTCTACTTTTGAGGCAACTACTTCTACCTCTACTAAGTCTACTTCTAGTCCAAACGACTTTGCTTCAAATCCTGTTGTTTTGGCTGCACCGATGCAATCCGGGATGCTTGCACCTGAATGTGATGATCCACCTCAGAAGATCCCATCAGAAGTTTGCAACCTTCTCAACCGATTTCCTGAAGTCTTGCTCGAACCGCATGGAGTTCCCATGCGTCCGGTCCGACACAAGATCGAGTTGATAGAAGGTAGCACTCCTCCAAAAGGTTGTGTCTATCGAATGGGCTCACGCGACTTAGAAGAGTTGCGTAGACAGATTGATGACATGATTGGGAAAGGATGGATCAAGCCAAGCGAATCCGAATTCGGTGCACCGGTTCTGTTTGTCCCTAAGAAAGGAGGCAAACTACGGATGTGTATCGATTACCGCGGGCTGAATAGAATAACAAGAAAGAATGCATATCCTTTGCCGCGTATTGATGAATTGCTTGATGTTGCAAGTGGGTGCAAGGTCTTCAGCAAGATCGATCTCAAGTCAGGCTACCACCAGATTGAAGTCGACCCTGCAGACCAGCACACAACTGCATTCAAAACTCGCGATGGGTTGTATGAGTTTACCGCCATGCCCTTCGGCCTTACGAATGCACCGGCCACCTTTCAAAGTCTCATGGACAAGGTGTTCCACAATCAGATCAACCGATTTGTTGTTGTGTATTTGGATGACATACTAATCTTCAGCAAGTCGATGGAGGAACACGTGAGACACCTTGACGAAGTGTTACAAATCCTCAAGGATGCGCAGCTCCATCTCAACTTGGAGAAATCTGAGTTTGGGAGGGACAGCGTCATCTACCTTGGACATCGATTGTCTGCTGCAGGCCTAGAGCCCGAGGCAACCAAAGTTGAGGTCATCCGTAACTGGCCTCAACGGGCCAATGTCCGCGAGTTGCGTTCTTTTCTTGGCCTTGCGCCGTACTACCCTAAGTTTGTACCCAAATTCTTTATCATCGCCCGTCCGCTGTCCAAGTTGACAAGTAAGAATGTGTCTTACACATGGGATGGGGAATGCACAACAGCCTTCCAAGCATTGAAGGAGGCTTTGGTGAGTCATCCGTTGCTCCGCATTGTAGATCCCAAACTTACATTTGTAGTAACTACGGATGCAAGCTTGTATGGGATTGGTGCAGTGCTGCAGCAAGATGACGGCGATGGTTTATGTCCGGTTGAATATTACAGCAAAAGCATGCCCAGTCACAAGGTAGTTGTCTCCACTTACTTGCGAGAACTCTACGCCTTGAGAGAGGCAACAACCTATTGGAAACACTACCTCTTGGGTCGTCATTTCAAAGTGTTCTCATATCACGAGACTTTGAAATGGATTCAGACATAGATTAATCCATCAACCACATTGACCCGCTGGTTGCATGAGATTGATGTGTGTGATTTTGAACTTAAGCACAAGAAAGGTTGTTACTATCACGTTGCGGATGCTTTGTCTCTCCATCCTGAGTACATGACTTGCCTTGTCGGTTCTTATGGTCTCCGTAAGAATTTGAAGGAGGAACTCATTGAGCAAACTGCCAAGGACCGGAACTCAGTCCCATCCTTGAGCAGATTCGGGCTGACCCTAGCAGTCACCCTGATTTCCATGAATGTAAGGGCTTACTTTTCCGACGTTACGGGAAGCACGACCGACTTTGTGTACCCAACCATGAGCCGATCCTTACTCACTTCTTCGACTTGACTCATGGACGGAGTGGACACTTCGGTTTTGAGAAAACATACGGAAGTCTGTTACAAAAGTTTGTATGGCCTAGAATGAAAGGAATGGCACGAAAGTTTGTGGCTGAGTGTAAAGTATGTCAACGCGTCAAACCATCTCGACAAAAGCCTTATGGGCTGCTGCATCCTCTTCCTATTTCGGATGGTCCGGGCAAGTCTTTTTCCATCGACTTCACGGACATGGGGAAGAAGAGTAGGAATGGATATTCGCAAGTAACAATGATTGTTAACCGCTTTTTAAATTTTTTGAATCGGATTCCATTACCACCTCATGCCCCAACTGATAGTGTGATCAAAGAGTTTCATAAGACGTACATTCTTCAGTATGGCCCCCCGAAAACTTTCTTGAGTAACTGGGACACTAGGTTCATAAGTACAGATTGGAAGGACTTCACCTCCCAGATCTATGACAACTAACTCAAGATGATATCTGGACGATATCCCGAAGCCAATGGGCTGGCCGAGAAGATCAACCAGACTTTGATCCAACTTCTCCGAGCTCTAATTGTGCCTCATAAGAACTCTTGGGATGAGGAGTTGCCGATTGTCTAGGGGTTGTACAACAACTCCATACACTCCTCCACTGGGATGACTTCTAACCGCCTGCACCTGGGGTGGAAAATTCGCAATCCTCTATCCTATCTTTGTCCTGAACAGCCACCTGGCCAGCCAGGCTACAGCGCTAAGTTTGATCGTTTGCTCAAAGTTGTTGTCGCAACTATGGAAAGGCGGTGCAGTTCCATGATTAAGCATGCAAACAAAAAGCACCAGCCTGGCCCTTTCACAGTGTGAAGTTATGTTTGGGTTAAGATGTCTGAGTTTTCTGAAGAAGAAGGTGTATCATGGAAAGGACGCCATCGAATCTTGGATCAGCTCCATGTGATCCTACTTTGATGAGTTGGGGACACTCCCAGTTACTCAATCGTCGGTCCTCGAGACCAATGTGGAACCCGCCGTAAGAGGATTCTTGGAAATCCAAGTTGTACAAGCAGGCTATAAAAGAATAGACCTGAACAAATGGATGAAGGCTACGCCGGTAGCAAAACTCGAAGAGCTCTTGATCAAGCAATATGCTGATGCGCATTCTGCAGCCAAAGCTAGACTTAAGCTTGACAAGCTCAAGCACAGCAAGTGGACCGGTACCATGCAGAGTCTGCAGCAGTATGTTAGTAATTTTTTGCTACTCCGGACCTGGAATTGACTGCGCAGTCTTGTTTGGATGTGATTAAAGGTACCTTTCCCTCTACTATAACACATCGCCTGGGGTTCGAACTCATAACGTATACAGATTGGCTGGGATCTAGTCAAGCTGGGGGCACAAGACCTCCCGGGTGGATCGGGTGGCAAAAAGACCACCGGCCGCAAACGATTTCCAGGCAGCAACCATTTTGCAGCGTACGATCTACTTGAGGATGACGAGGAGACCTTCACAGAGGATCCTTCTCTTGATGACGATCAAGAGCAAGGCTGCGAGGCATCTTGCTCTTCGTCAGCCCATGAGTCTGAGTATGTGAATGATGATGAATCTATGAATGCCTTCTAGAAGACTGCCTTCAAAAGTAAGGGACCGAGGACCACAGTGACGAACAATACTAACGTCATTCTCCTTCCCAAGGGAGCGAAGATTCCACCCAAACCGGAAGATCCTGCCACAAAACCATGGGTAGATCTGCGGATCAGTGAAAGTGAGTGGAAACACAAGGTGAAGAAAGGGGTTTGCCTGCATTGCACCAAANAAGATCCTGCCACAAAACCATGGGTAGATCTGCGGATCAGTGAAAGTGAGTGGAAACACAAGGTGAAGAAAGGGGTTTGCCTGCATTGCACCAAACCGGGACATTCAGTCCAACATTGCTTCAGATTGCAGAAGGGAAACCAGCAAAGGGGGTAGAGACATCAGCAGCACACTCTACAGACTGAGAGGCTGAACATGTAATTGCAGATCCTTCACTGGATTCTGATCCCACTCAGCAAACCTCTCTTGAAACCCCATCTGATGCTGATTCCAAGGCTAAGAAATTGCACATCCTCTATAAGGAGCCTTGAGTAGAGTCGAAAGAAATTGACTTCCATGCTCTGTTGATGCGCTGGGCTCATATGAAGCAAGAACGCACGCAAGGGAGAACGAAGTTGATCTTCTTCAAACTCTACATTAATGGACATTACATCCATGCGTTAGTTGATTGTGGTACAACTGCCAACTACTTCTCACCGCATGACATTCGTAAGGCACGCTTGGGAATGAAGCAAGTGACCTTGCAGAATCCTTGTCGAACCCAAGTGGGCAACCAAGAGGTTGTCACCTCTATTCATGCAGTCAAAGGTGTGCACATTACCTTTGACGCAGACCACACAATCACGCATGAACTGAACTTCTATGTCCTTGATCAGTGCCCCTCCGACGCGGTTATTGGCTTGGGCTGGTTGCAAACCCAATGTGAAAGAACCACATGGAAGGACTCACAGTTCATGGTCAAAGATGCCATGGGAATCAAGCGTTCAGTCCTCTTGGATGAGCCGCGCGAGTCCCAAGTAACTTTTCTCAATGCAATGCAATTCTGCAAAAAGTGGCGCAGGCGCAAAGTTGATGAGCAAATGTATATAGCCTTTGTTAGGCCTGCTCATGTGCCATCTATTTTTGTTGTACATAATGATTCCACTTTGCATATCGTTTCTGCTTCTGAGGCAACTACTTCTACCTCTACTAAGTATACTTCTAGGCCAAACGACTGTGCTTCAATTTCTGTTGTTTTGGCTGCACCGATGCAATCCGGGATGCTTGCACGTGAATGTGATGATCCACCTCCGGAGATCCCATCAGAAGTTCGGAACCTTGTCAACCGATTTCCTGAAGTCTTGGTCGAACCGCATGAAATTCCCGTGCGTCAAGTCGGACACAAGATCGAGTTGATAGAAGGTAGCACTCCTCCAAAAGGTTGTGTCTATCGAATGGGCTCATGCGAATTAGAAGAGTTGCGTAGACAGATTGATGACATGATTGGGAAGGGATGGATCAAACCAAGTGAATCTGAATTCAGTGCACCGGTTCTGTTTGTCCCTAAGAAAGGAGGCAAACTACAAATGCGTATCGATTACCGCGGGCTAAATAAAATAACTAGAAAGAATGTATATCCTTTGCCGCGTATTGATGATCTGCTTGATGTTGCAGGTGGGTGCAAGGTCCTCAGCAAGATCGATCTCAAGTCTGGCTACCACCAGATTGAAGTCGACCCTGCAGACCAGCACACAACTGCATTCAAAACTCGTGACGGGTTGTACGAGTTTACCGTCATGCCCTTCGGCCTCACGAATGCACCGGCCACCTTTCAAAGTCTCATGGACAAGGTGTTCCGCAATCAGATCAACTGATTTGTTGTTGTGTATTTGGATGACATACTAATCTTCAACAAGTCGATGGAGGAAAACGTGAGACACCTTGAGGAAGTGTTACAGATCCTCAAGGATGCTCAACTCCATCTCAACTTGGAGAAATCTGAGTTTTGGAGGGACAGCGTCATGTACCTTGGACATCGATTGTCTGTTGCAGGCCTAGAGCCCGAGGCAACCAAAGTTGAGGTCATCCGCAACTGGCCTCAACGGGTCAATGTCCGCGAGTTGCATTCTTTTCTTGGCCTTGCGTCGTACTACCGTAAGTTTGTACCCAAATTCTCTATCATCGCCCGTCTGCTGTCCAAGTTGACAAGTAAAAATGTGTCTTACACATGGGATGGGGAATGCACAACATCCTTCCAAGCATTGAAAGAGGCTTTGGTGAGTCATCCGGTGCTCCGCATTGTAGATCCCAAACTTACATTTGTAGTAACTACGGATGCAAGCTTGTATGGGATTGGTGGAGTGGTGCAGCAAGATGACTGAGATGGCTTACATCCGCTTGAATATTACAGCAAACGCATGCCCAGTCACACGGTTGCTCCCTCCACTTACATGCGAGAACTCTACGCCTTAAGAGAGGCTCTAGATCATTGGAAACACTACCTCTTGGGTCGTCATTTCAAAGTGTTATCAGATCACGAGACTTTGAAATGGATTCAGACATAGATTAATCCATCAACCACATTGACCCGCTGGTTGCATGAGATTGATGTGTATGATTTTGAACTTAGGCACAAGAAAGGTTGTTACAACCGCGTTGCGGATGCTTTGTCTCGCCATCCTGAGTACATGACTTGTCTTGTGGGTTCCTATGATCTCCGTAAGAATTTGAAGAAGGAACTCATTCAACACATTGCCAAGGACCCGAAACTCAGTCCCATCCTTGAGCAGATTCGGGTTGACCCCAGCAGTCAGCCTGATTTCCATAAATGTAAGGGCTTATTTTTCCGACGTTACGGGAAGCACGACCGAGTTTGTGTACTCAACCATGGGTCGATCCTTACTCACTTCTTGGACTTGGCTCATGGTCGGAGTGGACACTTCGGTTTTGAGAAAACATACGGAAGTCTGCTGCAAAAGTGTGTATGGCCTGGAATAAAAGGAATGACACTAAAGTTTGTGGTTGAGTGTGAAGTTTGTCAACGCGTCAAACCGTCTCGACAAAAGTCCTATGGGCTGCTGCATCCTCTTCCTATTCCTGATGGCCCGGTAGAGTCTCTTTCCATCGACTTCACGGACATGGAGAAGAAGAGTAAGAATGGATATTCGCAAGTAATGGTGATCGTTGACCGCTTTTAAAATTTCTAAATCTGATTTCATTGCCACCTCACGCCCCGACTGACCTTGTGATCAAAGAGTTCATAAGAAGTACATTCTGCAGTATGGGCCCCCGAAAACTTTCGTGAGTGACCGGTATAATAGGTTCATAAATGCAGATTGGAAGGACTTCACCTCCCAGATCTATGACATCAAACTCAACATAACATCTGGTTGACATCCCAAAGCCAATTGGTTGGCCGAGGAGATCAACGAGACTGTGATCCAACTTCCCCGAGCTCTAATTGTGCCTGATCAAAACTCTGGGGATGAGGAGTTGCCAACTGTGATCCAACAACTCCATACACTCTTCCACCGGGATGACACCTAACCGCCTGCACCTGGGGTGAAAAATTCGCAATCCTCTATCCTATCTGTTTCCTGAACAGGCACCTGGCCTGACACATGGCCAGCCAGGCTACAGTGCTAAGTTTGATCGTTTGCGCAAAGTTGTTGTCGCAACTATGGAAAGGCGACGCAGTGCCATGATTAAGCATGCAAACAAAAAGCGCCAACCTGACCCTTTCACAGTGGGAAGTTATGTTTGGGTTAAGATGTCTTGAGTTTTCTGAAGAAGGTGTATCATGGAAGCTTCTTCCTCAGTACTACGGTCCGTTGGAGGAGTTGAACAGAGTAGGGAATTATTCATTTGGTCCTTCTTACACGATCAATGTGCCTCCTCATCTGCGCACGTACCCAGTCTTTCACGCATCGAAGTTGTTTTCGTATGAACCACCCGAAACTTTTCCATATCGAGAATCAATGATTCCTTGTGCAATCAAGGGTGGTCATGAGATTGACAAAATTGTCGAGCACGGTGGGAAGGGGATAAACAGACAATACAAAGTCCACTTCCTATATCATCCATTGAATGACTTTTACTTGATTGCTAAGAAAGATTTGCTGCAGAGTGCCCCGCGAGTCGTCAACGCACACGAACGATTGATTAGTTCCGAACAACAGCCTAATTTCACTGCTACCCTCACTCCTACGGAACATACCCGATATCTCTTTGCTATTTATGCTTATGATGCATTATGCAAGGACTCTGATTGAGTTACTCGCTCGAAGGGACCTCGCTTTTGAGGGGGGGGTAGTGTAATGACCCGCCATAACACAGACTGAGAACACTGCTGATTTCTGAAGTTATGTCGATGGAATGGATGCCTTGCCAAGATTCCCGCATTCTGCTGTGTTTTCTAAGTCTCTATGTGTGCGTGCCTGTGGACTTGCGTGCCTATCTGAGTGCTTGGCGTCATGAGTGTGTGTGTGACCCGCAAGGGTACTTGCTTACTTGGCAGGCCCGTAGGGCCGGTGCTTACCTGTAGTCATGGCATTGAGGGTTGCAGCAGGGAAAACACTGAAGTAGCGGAGCCAGGGGCCCGTGGTGCGTAGAGCAGCAGAAAAACACTTAAGTAGCAGGTAGGCCGGTTCCGCACCCAGTAGCAGTAGATGTGCCAGGTACTCGAAGCCGAGCAAAGAAGACAAAGTTGGCATTTCTAGACGCCTAGTGGTGGTAGGCTAGGTCTTGGCCGGTACCAGTCCATCCAGTCTGAGTCTAGAGCCTGTACGGGCAATATCAGAGTCTGCAATGATGTTTCCCTCCGAAAGGGAGGATGTACCGGTTGCTTGGGAGGTCGAGCGGCCTGGAAGTCACCGCCCAGGAGGCAAGCAGGCCCGCTATATCAAGAGGCCGACGCAAGAGCTCGGCCTCATTCTTCAGTGTGCAAGTTTGGCGACACGCTGCTGGAGCGCTGGCTGTAGTGGCGCTGGGTACTACAGCGCTGCTAGGAGGAAGAAGTCGGGAGCGTCCACCTTGGCTATGGTGGAGCTCTACAGGTAGGAGGAGGAGGGAGAAGGGGACCAAGGAGGAGAGTGGTGGGGTACTTACCTGGCTATGGTAGACACCATCTTCATCACCTTGTTAGGCGCTGCATCAGGAAGGCCCCAGTGGGGGTAGTGCCGCATCAAGGAAGCTCGGGACAGAGTCAGGCATAGCGGTTTAGTGGGCAGCGGCATAGCTGCACGGAGTTGACCTGGGGACAGAAGGGCAGCGACATAACTGCTTTGGGTTGTCCTTTGGACAGGAGGGAGAGCCCTCAGTACTCCGCCATAGCCTCGGCCTGTATGTAGAGGAAGAGGAAGGGTGGCCATGGCTATGGTGGACCTCATGTTGTGCCTGCAGTAGAGAAGTGGGATTCGGACATTGATTCTGGTTCCGCAATTCAACAGTATTATTGTTATTTCTTGTTTGAATAAGAGGGGAGGAGATAAGGAGGGGGAAATTGGTTGGCGAGGAAGAAGAGCCTTGTCATTGGTCTATGTTGGAGTACATCATCTTCTTCTTCATTCTTACTTCTTCTTCTTCTTCTTTCCCTCTCTCTCCTCTCAAGTTCATTCATTTCTTTTTGCAATTGGATGACATTGTACTTTCTCATGTTTGTATACTTCGAAATTGGTCAGGATCGTAACATTGGTATCGAAGCGTATTCTACTTGTTGACGAGAGTTGACTTTGCTGTCCTAACCCCTAACCCTAGTGGTAAGTGCTAACCACTTAGGGTTAGGGCAGAAGTTAGGGTTAAGTGCGGCAGCGTGGTAAAGGGAAGTTGCCCCCACCTGGCAGGGCCGTGTTGGGTCGACACTAGACCCGACCAGGTTGCTTGAGTGCATGTTTCTGGTGGCGAGACACAAGGTGGGACTTCGTGATGCAACTTGAGAGAGGTGATAGTGAAGGGCACCTACAACTTTAATCTGGACTTCAAGGAAGATGAGGAGTGACTTTAGGGCTCCCCTCAAGTTAGGGGAGCTCTAGGGTGGCAGCCATATCTGCACCTAGGGACTGCAAGTTGTTGCATTGATCTTCAACATCGACGGGGGATCCGGCTTTGTACTTTGGGGTAGATGTTGACCCTCCTAGATGATAGGACACTAGTGTAGAGGATGGTAATTGGGTCAGGAGGACTATGTGAGGGGGGGGTGAGTTCTTTCATCTCAAGAGCCCGGCCACTTAGGTAAGTGTCGTGCCGCCAGGGTGCCCATGTGTGTGTGCATGGAATTGACTGCCTGTTGGGGTTTTCTGGGTTCTTCTTCCATCCTCCATAGTCTTGATCTTGCGTGAAGTGTGTGAACTGCTTACTCGCCTGATGAGTGAATGGATGGAGTATCTTGTGTGCTGTGCTAAATCTTTCTACAGTGCTTTATCTATTTCATTATGAATGGTTGTAGTCTGTAGGTTCTTTCTGGGGCAAAATTTCGTTTTCAATTCGGTAGGGACATAGTAGGTCTTTGTGAAACTCTTGTTGGTTGGGACCCGGTTTTCACTCCACTGGGACCGTTTGGGACTCAGTGGGACTAGGCCCAAAAAAGAAGGGCCCCTCAGGCCAAATCTGTTGACGTCAGTTACCTTGCTCTATCTGATTGGGACTCAGACTTTATGATTTCGGACCAGAACACTCGTTGCGGAGGGGATCTCCGCTGAGATGTTTTATCGGACTTTGCTGCACGATCCGCCGTCTGACTCTCACCTTGACAACCACTAAATTCTTTTTTGCATTACGTAGTACACTTTGAATCTGATTTGTTGTGATTTGCTGTGATTTGCTGTGTCTTTACAGAGCTGAGTCCGGTTAGGTTTGAGAGGACCTCATACTTAGTCGGTCCAGAATGTGTGGTTGGATCAGATCTCTCTGATCTTTATTTCTTTTGTTGTTTTGACTGGTCTCCAGTCCAAATGAATTGCCACTCCGACTAGGAGTTCTACCTTCTCTTCTGATTGCTTTCAAGCGGTTTCTTTTACTGGGTTCGTTAAATGTATGCGTCTACATGATCACAAACGAGAGAGAGAGAGAGAAGAGAGAAGAGAGAAGCTTCTGAGTGTTGCTCTTGAGGGAGTAAGGAGAGGGAAGAGGAGTGTTAGTCCCATAAGTGTGATGAAGTACGGATCCCTCTTGAGAGACTTGTTGACACCCTCATCCTCCATTATGGCATCTCTAACAGAATGGAAGCTGCCCCTGAGGCAGAAAAAACGAAGTACCTATTCTTTTAAGAAAAAGCATTGAAGAGGGAAGAGGAACAGAAGGAGAAGGAGAGGGAGGATAAGGTAAAGGCTCATGAAGCCGTTTTCTGTACCGTGCCTGCCCTAACTGATGAGGAGGTGGGAGAGAACACCGTTCCACTCCTCCGGGCTTGAATAGACGTCCGGGCAGTTGAGGACCATACTGGCCAACTCGCGAAAGTGTTCGACGAACTCAAGATGTTGCGTGAGGAGATGGCCCTGATGGCGCAGCAACACCGTGACCAGCGCAGCAGTTCGCTAAAGTGCAGCCAGCCCAAATTATCCTCCTGCCTTCGTACCCTGCTTCTAGTGCTGCGTGTCAGTCCGTTCTTGCCCCTCTAAAAGTGTCTTCTTCTTCTTTCTTCTTCTTTTTTGAGTGTGGCCAACAGCCTAACCGGATCTGCTGCAGGTCCAGACCCCGCTGTTGCTGTTGCTGCTGCTGCAGTGACAAATGGCAGTGCAGGGCATTCAGGAACTGTTTTAGCCACGAATTCGGACCCAACAACCGCTGGTCCAAGCTGCATCTTTCCTTACATGGATAGAAAGGCGGCGCAGATTCCGTCTAAGTAAGACGGAAAGGACGACATCAAATCTTGGATCAGCTCCATGCGATCCTACTTTGATGTGCTGGGGGCACTCCAATTACTCAGTCGCCGGTCCAAGGAACCAATGTGGAACCCGCCGTAAGAGGATTCTTGGAAATCGAAGTTGTACCAGCAGGCTATAAAAGAATAGATCTGAACAAATGGCTGAATGTTACGTCAGTAGCCACACTCGAAGAGCAATATGCATCCACATGCTGCAACCAAAGCTAGACTTAAGCTTGACAAGCTCAAGCACAACAAGTGGACCGGCACCATGCATAGTCTGCAGCATTATGTTAGTAAACTTTTTGCTACTCCAGACCTGGAAATGACTGCACAGTTCTGTTTGGATGTGATTAAAGGTCAGCCCCCTCTACTATAACACATCGCCTGGGGCTCAGACTCATAACGTATACAGGTTCGCTTACCCTCATGCGGGATTTAGTCAAGCTGGAGGCAGAAGACCTCTCGGGTGGATCGGGTGGCAAAAAGACAACCGACCACATACGGTTTCCAGGCAGCAACTGTTTTGCAGCGTACGATCTACTTGAGGATGACGAGGAGACCTTCACAAAGGATCCTTTTGTTGATGACGATCAAGAACAAGGCTGCAAGGCATCTTGCTCTTCGTCGGCCCATGAGTCTGAGTATGTGAATGATGATGAATCTATGAACGCGTTCTAGAAGACTGCCTTCAAAAGTAAGGGACCGAGGACCACAATGAAGAACAATACTAACGTCATTCTCCTTCCCAAGGGAGCGAAGATTCCACCCAAACCGAAAGATCCTGCCACAAAACCATGGGTAGATCTGCGGATCAGTGAAAGTGAGTGGAAACACAAGGTGAAGAAAGGGGTTTGCCTGCATTGCACCAAA